ATATTACCTTATTTATTACTTATATTAGCACTTTATAATTAACACATACATATATATATATTAGTAGGCTATATTACATAACTTTATTGTAATAATATATAATTTTGTGCGCAATCGGTCACACCCACTGAAGGCTCGTCAGTAGATCACGCGTGCGCTGATAGCGCTGAAGTGAACTAACCCTGAAACATAACTTACATGCTTACATGCCCTGAAAGTTACCTCCGATTTTGGAACCGAAAGCTGAGGTTATCTGCTCGCTTATACCCAGACATACCCAGGTATGTCACATAACCTACTTTCTGGAATACCCCCCAGAACAAACCAAGACATAACGGCTCAGAAATGCAGTACATGACACGCAAGACTTCACAATGAATGATTGAATGAACCAGGCTATATATAGGGTTAGTAGACAGGGTTAACAAGAAACAGGTGCAAACAATGAGTGCTGATGTGTCCAGGCAAAGGATTATGGGAAATGAAGTCCAAGACTGAGTGACAGAGCTATGGGATTGAGTGCCCTCTGGTGGTTATCAAGGGCACTCCTGCTGGTGATCGTGACGGTATCAAATATTCTTAACCATGTCTGCATTTGTGATCGGAGAAATGACAAACAACAAGTGCTACTCTACACTGCTCAAAACTCGCGTTTGAATCTAAGCTTCTGAAGGAATATTTGAAGAGCTGCTAATGATGCCGCTTTAACTAAATCAATGGAACAAAAGAGAAACGGCATCACATAAAAAGATAAACGAGTGAATCAGGAGCCGATGCGAACAAATCAAAATTTCATACCCGCTCACCTGCGCTGCTGCATTAACCAAATGTCAAATAAAAATAAATCCATGCAGGAAAAGTGACGGGTGATGTTCTAGGCAGTTTAAGGTCATTTCATATGGAGAATAAAACTAGTTAGTGAAACATTGATGACAGATTGATCAGAACCTGCTCACTAATGAGTAAAAGTGACGTGAAAAGTGACACGGAGCGGTTTTGTTGCACAAACACTAAGTGTGATGCGCCACTGACCTTTAGTTTAACTTTTATTGTTGCAACAATTAGTATTCAGCACAAGGTCAATTCATATGGAAAATAAAACTAGTGAGTGAGACATTGACGACAGATCAGATCAGCACCTGCTCACTAATGAGTAAAAGTGATGTGAAATGTGACGCTGAGCGGTTTTGCTGCACAACTTTCCAAGTGTGATGCGCCACTGGCCTTTAGTTTAACTTTTATTGTTGCAGCAATTAGTATTCAGCACCGTTTAGAACACCTCCCTCCCTCTCTCTCTCTGTCTCTCTCTTTCTGTTTACTGCACAGTTAGTGAAGCTTATCGCCTGGCAACCACAATTAAAGTACACCAAGTCAGCAATAGCAGAGAAACAGGCTGATAAAACACTAAAACACCTCCAGCAGTGAGAGCGAGACAGATAGACAGACGCTGTTAGTCTGTACCTGAAGTGAAGGGAAAGCGAGTGCGACAGGTGAAACTGGAACTGCACAGGTATGTGATTAGCAGAATGCCTGAGGACTGTGTGTGTGTGTTGAGTAGTTTTGTTAAAGGGTTTTTGCACTCTAATCACACTCGTTGCGTGTCGACATGCTGTGTTGAGTGATGCTCTCAGTGAGAAGTTCCCATATGGTGGTTACACTTTTGTCACAGCACTCGTTTGCACTGATGAACGGCTAATTCGTGTGGTTTGAGGCTGCTGAGGTGTGAAAAGTCTGAACACTGGAGATGATGTTCTGGGATTTCATTTGCTGTGATTGCGGCGCTTGATACTTGACTGTAGAAACGCGGTACTCACAGTGGCAGAGGAAGAACATCATAATCATCATCAGAGGTTAACAGGCGTATGAATAACTTTGTATGAGTGAAGGTTTAAAATCATACGTTAGATGTCATAATTCAGTGTTTTTCTGTGTCGGAGACTCTGACAGGTAAAGGTCAGAATCACAGCAGTCATCATCCTGACTCCAGCTGTTAGCTTTGAAACAACCACACACCCTTTCAAATGTCACCACATCTGTCTGTCTGTCCATCCATCTGCCAC